AGTCTTGGGATCATCACCACTGAACTTGTTGGGAGCAGGGATCTTGGAACCTCTTTGGTCTCCTGCAGTCACAGCTGCATAGGTGGCATTTCCTGAGGCCTTTCGGGAAGGGGTAGATGACCGGGAAGAATGTACAGAACCAGCATGCGATGCATGTGGTGAGGAAGGGGATGAAGGAGAAGAAGATGGATTGGGTTTCAGCAGGGGGGGCTGAGGAGTAATCATCTTGGCGGCTGCCAGTTGAGGAGTCAAGTTCCGGATAGAATCCAGGATCTTGGACTGCTGAGCTGACAGCTCGTCAGCCCGACGCTCCAGTCGCACAAAGCGATCGTCCCAGTTGGTGAACTGGGAGCTGGTGATCTTGTGCTCTAGCAGGATCATCTCTGCCATCTGCTTGGTGACCTGGGAGCAACAATCATCTGTGAGTGCTTTGTCTAGCTGCTGCAACAGATATTCTCTCCTGGAATGATCTGTTGCAGGTTCTAGCTCAGTTGCCTTCTACTGTTCCAATTCTGCAAGTCTGGCCTGTTGCTGTCGCAGCTGTTCTTCCAGCTCCTTCAACCGCTGAGTAGCAGTCAGAGGAGGAGTAGTAGTAGTGGAGGCTGAAGGTTGTTCACCTTCTACCTTCATCACAACTTCCACCTGTGGCTGCTGCTCAGTTCCCTGATCAGACATTTCAACGGTTCAGAAATAAAACCAAAAATAATACACAGACAGCAAACAGAGTATGCAGTGATACTCAGATTCCTTCAGACACCCTGGAATCGCTGCAATATCTCAACACTGGATTAGGTGGGTGTATGGGCAATCAACGGTTTGGGTTGGAAAGGTGTCTCTGGGGTCAGGTGTCAGATAGACTTTAAGTCCAGCAAAATCAATCACACGATTTCCTTTTACTGACCCTGGACCACACTGGATAATAGTAGAGTCACTCCACTACTCTTCCAAGGACCCACTAGATTTCCAAAACCCACTAGAAGACAAGAGTAGTCAGTGGGAATGATAGAACATGGTTAGTACAMWCAAGAGAGATCAACCACAACAAGCGATTCAGACAAAGACCCGATATCCTAGCTCAGACTAAATTTTAAACCCTGATGACTCTGGCAGCCATACCCTAGGGTACGTTGAAACACAGTTTTCACTGTATCCAGTGAAATACTGCAAATCCAATCCTGCGATTCTACAGCATTGTCTATTTTTGGATTGCGATTCACTGGGGACTGACAGAACTGAATTATGACGAACAAAATTGAAGTTATGACTGACCCTAGGTAGCACACGCTATAAATAGACTCAGCGCAAAACTGCAATTCCCAGTATCACTACTTTTCCACTGCAGAATTCACAGTTTGAGTATCCCAGAATAATCGCAATACAATATAGCAGTCACAGAACAATTTTGGATCAGAAGGAGTCAACAGACGATGAGAAATGAGCAGAGAGAGGTAGGGGAGAGATGGCTATGGCTGTCATGCAATTTGCGATTTTCACTTTCAGTCACTGACAGACAGATAGACCATTATAATTAACTAAACTAATACTATCGAGATCGCAATACAGGTAGGTGCATGGAACAGACTCACTTTCAGAGAATCTTGCAGGTGATGATGAAGATCTGGCTATGGCTGATGATACCCTTATCTCGCCAATTTCTCCCAGATATTCCTCCTGACACTTCCACGCATAGAACTGCTTCAAATTTGTTGATCCTCCAGGATCCTGTAGCACTGCACTCCCTCAACTCAGATACACTATATCTGGTCATGTGGCGCCCAGTATGCCAACACCAAAATATCTCGCCACAGTGCCTGGTAGCCGTTGATGCTAAAAATAGCCCCAGATGGGGTTATTCCTTCTGGAGATTGATACTGTGTGTCAATCTCTGCCAGCGCTACCCAGGGATGATGTCGCTCAGGGTTCCCTGATGTCTTCAGGGGTAATTCGCCACTCTGCGGTAATTCGCAATATTACCCTCAGGGTTGGCTATGGCGAATTAGCCCTGTACTCGGCACTTCCTGACAAGCGCCCTGACAGGCTCAGTGCGCTTGCTCAGTGCAGCCACTGAACACTTGAATCCACCGCTGAAAGTCTTCTTTCCCGCTGACTCAGTATTGGGGAAGACGAATCGCCATGAAACTCTCGCCAGTAGATCGCCATATGAAGAAGATGCCTCAGTGCGCTCAACCCTCAGTGTTCCAAATCCAATCCCGCTCCGATACCAACTGTTATGATCTTGGTTGTTTAACGAATTTCATCGCCACTCACACACAGACAATCTCACACATGCCCATACATGCATAAGAGAAGGGGAGATAGGAGACAGAGTCCAAACTGCACACAGGTGAAAATAAGCAGCGGAAGACAATCATGCACATATGGGAAGAGAACTTAGTACAAGGTGACTTCGTTACTACTCATGGTCATCGTCAGAACCCGAGCGTTGCTTGTCACCTCGCTCCCATTCCTATTCGTCGTCAGACCCATGTGGGCAGTGGTGGCACGCTGATAGGAGTTTGCGCTGCTATTTCACCGACTATTCTTCCTGAACGACGTTATATGCCATGCTCATAGTTGATTCGTCATGTTCGTGCCCTCCGTCTCTGCGACTTAAGTTTTCAACCTTGACTGAACCTGGTAACGTACACACACATACACATACGGAGAGAGAGAGAAAGAACTCACCTCGAGATGGGTAGCTCCAAACCAGCGATGCGGGGGGGGGGGAACCAAATAGATGAGCTACGGTGTTGAGCTGCTCACATATTCTGTCGCCTTCCTTTTTGTCAGGTGGCAACACATCCAACCGGGTTCTAGTGAAAGATTCGTTGCATTTTGCGGATCTCACGAGTAGTAGGATGAAGATTGTAAGCACACTTGTGCAACTTGTAGTCATTCTTCCCTCAGCCTGTGACAGTCACCCCTCGATTTTGATGCAAGTGCTCATCGTGGCCGAGAAAAGTGGGCAATTTGATCGTTTCCGTTTTCCTGTACTATGGTGTAGTCATCGCCCGTCTTGTTCACATCTGTTCGTTTCCACAATACACTTAACTCCCAACCATTTTCCCTGCCTGTTTCTTGCTGGTATTTCTGTCTGATCGCACGGAGCTCACTGGCTCCTTACTTCGATGTTTCTTGTCGTCACCCTCACAATCCCCTTCGTTGCCTCACATAGTTGAAGCGTTTCCCTGGGAAGGTGGGAAAAGCCCTGTAGAGCACGAGAAGAGTAAGTGGAAGGAGGAATGAAAAAAGTAGTGAGGGGAAGAAGCAGGCTGCAACTAAATATAAGGGGCTTACCGCATGCGCAGGGGCGGTGCATGAATCTTCCAAAAAGATTGTAGAGGAAGTTAGTTAGAGGGTAGTGAGCAATCCTGACGGTGGTCAGCCTGGTTAACATAGGCACCCACTTGGACAAGGCAGTGGTCTATACAGCCGACATCTGCGTGTACTTCAGTGCCCACTGTTGACAGTGGTCCGGTGCTTCAATAATCAGTAGTGGTGCAGAGTAATTGTTTGACTAAGGATTTGGGCGCTCAGCACTCCTACGAGGGAAAACCCAGTCCACGTGCATAAAGGTGGAACCTGGCCATTCTGGATCTCACCACGTCCGGACAGAGCAAATGTGGCATACTGAGCCACACGGGCCCCAGTTAGGGCCCGGTTCCAGACAGGCAGGGTAGGCCTAAGGGACGACGGTTCAGATGAGACCCATATGGGACTGGACCATGGCGGTTCAGGCAGGCCCAGGCCAAACGGCCACAAGGCCGGTACCGGTCCAGCCTAGGACCTACCGGCAGCGGTTCAGAGGCTGCCACAGTTTAGGCGCCAACAAGTTTCAAAACACCAGTTTCAAAACTGGACCGTTGATCTAGATCAACGGTCCAAACCGGTAGGTACTAGTGGGTAGGAGGCCGGCCCAGCACTACAAAAGGCTGGGTACCAGCCTCAGTCCAGTAGGTTAGCAGGTAGAGGTTAGGAGCTCTTCAGATTAGTGCAGCTTATCAGGATTAGCGCAACATTTCAGATTAGTGCAGCTTCAGCATTAGCGCAGCTTTCAGCGGCGCCCAGCGCGAGACCGGAGCAGCGAGACATAGCGGCAGCAGCAAGGCAGGACTGGCGCAGCACCTACAACGACAGCGCCATAGCTACCTCTACAGTACCAGACAGAAAGGCCTCGCCCTTCTCTCTCCTCCTCTACCCCCGCTCCCTCTCTCTCTCTTCCCCTCTCTCTCTCTCTCTCCTTCTACTCCTCTAAGTCTGGGTTCCGGACTACTATGAGTATGGGAGATGGTTACGAGTTCTGATGACATTTGAGACAGCGACATTGGGACTAAGAGTTGAGGACTGTTTGGGATCTGATTTCATCTTCCTTCTGAAGATGTACTTGACATTGTGAGATCGATATCTGAGATATTGTGAGACTTCACATTTGCGACATTTCGGATTTTCGTCACTTCTGCGAACCCAAGATACTATCTTTGGAAACATTTCGGATTTTCGTCACTTCTGCGAACCCAAGATACTATCTTTGGAAACATTGAGTTGACATAATCTCCCCTCTCCTCTCCTTTGTCTCTCTCCTCTCCCCCCCTTCGTCTGTGGATGATCTCAGGCCCTGGCCCTTCGTCTATGTCTGAGGCCAGAGCATTCACACCCCTGATGAATGTTTGAGAGTGTTCGATTGCAGTCCGAGTCAGGTCTGAGTCAGTCCAAGGTATCTCAAGTCTTTCGCTTGCATTTGTATCAACTCTGTTTTATCTGGTCGGTTCTGGGAATCTGCGCCATACTTATCACTGTGTTTCACAAGTATGCAACAGTTTGGTATCGGAGCAGACCAGCATTGAATGACTCACCATTCATTGATTCATTGATTGATTGATTGATTGATTGATTATCTATACTTGCACTCTGTTATCATTAAATCTCAAGTTGCAAAATTTTTTCTTTTTCTCTTATTTTCATGGTTAATTAGGTCCTTAAAATTATAACGACCTACCTACCCTAACGGAAGTAAGTGCCAGCCAGGCACCGCGCCAATCAAAGCTGATCGGGCCTGACCATCCCATTGAGAATGGACGAAGCACAAAAATCCAGAATGCAAAATCACACTGAAGTCCAAGTATTCAAAGCCAAAGCAGATAGCACATGGAACCGAGTGACCATCCCATTGAGAATGATACAGAAGAATTGTGAGTCAATGTCCATG